AGAGAGAGAGAGAGAGAGAGAGAGAGAGAGAGAGAGAGAGAGAGAGAGAGAGAGAGAGAGAGAGAGAGAGAGAGAGAGAGCACAGCATGTCAATGGCGGGGAGCATAAGGGCAGGCGCTGACCTCCTAAAAAAAAGTAGTAATTGTATTGGAATACAAGAGTTTTTTCTTTTCGAAATCCGAATAGAAAGGGTACACGTTGTATTCGAATACAACGTGTACGATTTCTATTCGAGGTACTCTGCTATTTGAGGAAAGTGCACCCGCACCGTTTCAATGCCCACCCTCCCGACGACCACCGACGTTGAAATTTGATTGACGTTGAAATGTCTCAGGGAGGGGAAACGCAACCCTGACAGGCTGCGAACTAGGCCAGATAGCCTAACTGATAGCCTAGTCCATAGGGGGTTGAAAACCGTAGTTGATAGGTAAGTTGATGAGTTGATATCCCAAGTGATAGCCAGTTACTAGGCCAGATAGCCTAACTGATAGCCTAGTCCATAGGGGGTTGAAACCCCTCGTTGATAGGTAAGTTGATGAGTTGATATCCCAAGTGATAGCCAGTTATTAGGCCAGTTGTAGTACGAGACACAATTGCTAATCCTAATAACAGGTAGTCTATGCCACAGAAACTTCCAACAAATAGGACAGTCTCCTTCTGCAAGTGGGATCACGTTTCCAGAACGCTACGCTTTGGCACCTTACTTTCGGTGAATAGTGTGCCTGCTCATCCCATGTGGCAAGGGCGGCCTTAGAAATTTGAGGGTGGTAGGAACCGGCATGATGATCCTGTGGACCCTGAGGAGGCGGCAATCACATGTCGCTCCCCGAATAGGATTTGTTTCGTTATTTCAACACACACAGAAGTGGTGGCTGTGAGCGGTGTGCTGTGTTGTGTTGGACAGCGGGCTTACGGGGATTTTTGGTCTGGCCTGTCGGGCAGGGTTAGCGCCGGGACGATCAGGGTGGTCCGGTCGGGAGGGAGATTGCGGAGTGGCGGACGGAGGGGTGGAGGGAGGGTGTGTTTGTGGGAGTTCACCCATAATCAGCGGGCGCTCGGGGAAAGAGCGGAGGGGAAAGAGCGGAGGAGGGGAACGCGGGAACGCGGGAACCGGGTATGCCTCACGAAGCGCAAGCTGAGTAGTAGCAGGTGTCTGCGTGAACTGGTATCTGGCCGGGATCAGAAGTGTGGCAAATTGGCCCCGCCCCGCCCCGCCCCGCCCCGCCTGGCGAGGACGCCACGGCGTTGGCTAGGACTATTGTGAAAGAGGTAACGCGGAGGATCTCGCCGGTCAATGCGGCGGAGCGCGGAGGGCTCGTTGACGTGCACTCCTCCTCGCAGATTGGGGGGCGCTAGGGGGGCAGGTTTGGGGCACGGGGGGCGGGCTTGGGGGGAGGAAAGGCAACGAAATGTCCGGAAGGTGAACGTTGAATCAATTGGGAAAACCCTGGGCGCGGAAGGGGCTGGCTGGAGGAAGCGTGTCGTGGCGTGTCGACGTGGCGATACGGGAGGGCAAGCGTTTGCGTGAGCGGGGAGAAGCGGAGGAACAGCGAGCTTGCAAGTGTACGGCGCAAAGGGGTGAATAGTGAGCCAGGGACGAAGGAGGGGAAAGATCGGGATAGACGAGGTGTAGCGCGGAGGAGTAAAGCGATTGGGCTATGGTGGGCGTTCGGCCGTGTCAACATGTAGCGTTGAAGGAGAATTGAGCGGAGGAGGGGTTCTCTTAGGTTTAGGTTTGCCGCGTGGGTGTGCAAGGGGCCCCGATTCTACGATTCTATTGTTCCTTTCCTGCGTGTCTGAGATAGGGGCGTGAGGGATTAGTAAGGGAGAAGAGACATAGCGCGCGGCCCTGTGCAGGGCAAAGAGACACCGGTGCAGGAGAAAGACGCCATGGGGGTGTACACCAGTTTCCGACCGCGACGGTAAAGGGATTGAGGGGATAAGGGACTCCGCCCAAACATGCAGGCCCAAGCGCCTGGCCAGGTGCAGCATATTTCCCAGCAGACGCAGCAGCAGCAGCAACAGCAGCAGCAGCAGCAGCAGCAGGCAACTGCGACGGCTGTGAGGGCCGCGGCGGCGACGGCAGCGACGACGACGTCGTCGAAGAGTTGGCATAGCGAAGAAGACACATCCCTCCGCCGTACTGTATTGGAGCATATGTAAGTAGTGTAAATGTGCTTCCAAGCCAGAAACATCCACTATTCGACGGGCCATCAAATAGAACACATGAACTCAATCAACCAGCGTGGGAGAGACTGCAAGAAGGATTGGGAACTGAGGGCGCGCGCGCGCGAAAAACACACACACAGAGAGAGAGAGAGAGAGAGAGAGAGAGAGAGAGAGAGAGAGAGAGAGAGAGAGAGAGAGAGAGAGAGAGAGAGAGAGAGA